TTTAATTTGTTCACAGAGAACCAAAATAGTTTAAACCTGTACACAGAGAACCAAAATAACTTTAATTTGTTCACAGAAAACTAAAATGGTTTAAACCTGTACACAGAGAACCAAAATAGTTTAAACCAGTATACAGAGAACCAAAATAGTTTAAACCTGTATACAGAGAACCAAAATAGTTTAATCCTGTATACAGTGAACCAAAATAACTTTAATTTGTTCACAGAAAACTAAAATAGTTTAAACCTGTATACAGAGAACCAAAATAGTTTAAAACCAGTATACAGAGAACCAAAATAGTTTAAACCTGTATACAGAGAACCAAAATAGTTTAAAACCAGTATACAGAGAACCAAAATAGTTTAAAACCTGTATACAGAGACCTAAAAATATTTTAACTTGGCACCTAAGGAATAGAAATAGTTTAACCCGGAAAACACAGCTCCAAAATAATTTAAATGGGTACGTACCCGGTGCCACTCCATGTGTAAGATTCCGAGCTTCTTTCTTTACAGTTCAGTCTGCCAGAACACACTTGTTATTCTTCAGTTGAATAGTGTTTGGCACATTGAAGTAGTGGATGGCACTTTCGTTTCATATATATATATTTTGAAGTAAGCTAGCTACTAAAACCGATTAGTCAACTTTAACCTGGAAGAAGTTAATGTCTTCCCAGGTAGGACAGACTAAACATGCCCTTCTTTTAGTTACCAGTGCAGTATCAAATGGAACGAAGACTGTTGATGAGTTGCGGGAAGAATCCAAAGTCTAACAACATAGAGGTCTCTAACTCTCGTTCCCAGTGGCGGGGTCATTATAGGTTCTTTGCTCTTAACGGTATGATTATGTCTTATCAATACACAAACATGAAGAACAACATGACATAACGAAAGAACGTTTCTAGAAAAATGCAACTGGCATAAAATAGTGTCTCTTTATGAATTAAATCATTATAATCAAATTGCTTTACGTGTGTTAGTGCAATAATACAACCAGTGTAAGGACGAGTAGTGTATGTGTATTAGTATAATAATACAACCAGTGTAAGGACAAGTAGTGTATGTGTATTAGTATAATAATACAACCAGTGTAACAATAAGTTGTGTATGTGTATTAGTGTAATAATACAACCAGTTTAACAACAAGTAGTGTATGTGTATTAGTATAATAATACAACCAGTGTAAGAACAAGTAGTGTATGTGTATTAGTATAATGATACAACCAGTGTAAGAACAAGTAGTGTATGTGTATTAGTATAATGATACAACCAGTGTAAGAA